TAGATCACTAAATGGTACCAAACATTTGGAGAGGAAAAAGAAGTAAGAAAACCCATCCAAGTAACTAGGCGTAAGTACAATTGCTCTAGATCACTAAATGGTACCAAACATTTGGAGAGGAAAAAGAAGTAAGAAAACCCATCCAAGTAACTAGGCGTAAGTACAATTGCTCTAGATCACTAAATGGTACCAAACATTTGGAGAGGAAAAAGAAGTAAGGGAATATATGTCTGGGTCAAGAAGCACAGCAACATCTCTAGAAACGGAACCAACAAAAAGTAATACCGGTACGGTAATATATATGTAAGTAAGCATAATTATTATGTTTTCCAGTATTTTTTGTTGTTGTTTTAGTAAGAGTTTTACTGCACTTGCAACACAATAAAGTCATAGAAGTGTCGAAGATTAGAGGTGTTACAAGGGAGTAACAAACACAACAAGGATGGAGGGGAGATAAGGACGACAGATGGTAAAGAAGAAGCAAACCACACCAGAGCACCCGCCAACCACCCACGTTTTTCCGTATAAGGGACCAAAGATTTAGAGAGACAAAAGTGGTTATGGGAAACATGCAAAACAGTGACACCAGTTGACACAGTCGTAGGTTGAGGGCATGCACAGCTGACCTTTTGTGTCCGACACAAAGGAGACATCTCCCACGGAGCATTTCACAGGAGAGGTTCCAACTGTTTTAATCAAACTATCAAAATCTGCTTCAACTCAGATTTCAGGTCCACGGTTCAAGCATCTCTATTCGTTGCTATTTCATGCCACACGGCAGCCATTTCTTGACACAACGTACTGACCCTGCTCTACAACACAGTACAAAAATGGTGTCTCAGAAAGTTCTGGAGCGGGCCCATGTGCGACCAGCAGTATCACTGAGTACAGAGAGTGTCGCATTCAACGAGGTTGCCGGGACTGGCTTGTTGTCCTCGTTGGAGTCGACTTCTCGTTAAATGTGACCTCGTTGAATGCGACACCCACTGTAGTTGTACCCACCTGCAGGGAACAGCTGTCAACGTTCCACGTGATGCGGCACATTGTGAGCTCCAAGACAAAGTCCAAAACCTAAAACAAGAGGAAAAGCTCCATTTGGATACACACGACCCTCTCTCGAAAGATCTGCTCAAAAGTGTAGATATGAATCCCTAAAGAATGATATTGAACACCGTCTCTAGGAAGCATATATGTCGGACAAACCTGCGGGAAGCAATAAACCCCTGCAGCCTGCTGCCAAAACAGAAAGATATCCGATATTTTTATGTATCCCGACGCGGTGGAATCAGGAGCTCCTCACTTTTTTGGCATACGGAGTTATTGGTCTTATCTTAAAGCTTGTCCATTTGCCTTTCTTTTGAAGAAAATAACACCCATTTATCTTGTATACAAGTGGAGATATTTGTGATAGAAGGAGGTGGGGTTGTCTGGTTTCACAGGTAAAAGTAGCCAGAAAATGGGCGCCAAAGTTATTTCCTTAGCTTGAGAATCCTTGAAAACTGAAAATGTACATCTTTTATGCATTTGATCAACGTTTTTAAGTAAAAATCCACACTGAAATGAATTTTTTATGGGCATAAAAGGTGTTGAGCCGAAACACTAAAATTTCATAAAATTTCCATTGTATTGCTGAGCGCTTGATTTCACCACACTGCCTCACATACAGTCAAACCTGTGTAAGGCGGCCACCCATTGTCAAGGAGAAAAGTGGCCGCATAAGACAGGTGGCCGTATAAGACAGGTGGCCGCATAAGACAGGTGGCCGTATAAGACAGGTGGCCGTCTTAGGCAGGACTGATCAAGATGAAGAAAACAAACCCCATTCCCAATCGAAAGTAGCCGCATCATTGTTGTTGTTGTTGTTGTTGTTGTTGTTGTTGTTGTTGTTGTTGTTGTTGTTGGTGGTTTGTATTTTGTTTGTTATTTGTATTTTGTTGCTGATTTTGTGCAAGGGTGACAATAAAACGAAATGTGTCAGACAAGGAGGACCGAGAGCTACAGTAAAACAAACACATGGGTTGCCACCACTCAGAGAACGAGCGACGCTTCTGTCACAAGTTCATATTGACGTCCATTGTTACTTTGTTACAGACTGGGTAAACAGTGACCACTCATCTCACTTACGATTTGTGTATGAGTTCTGTGCGGGGCTTATGGGTTATGAGGGATCACACGCTTCCCTCACCAGCAGCTGAAAATTTGTTACCTATTGGTCAACAGAGGGAGGGGCCTACCCAACATGATCGGTTGGAGGGACTACCAAACATCAACGACAGGTGATTAGATTATGACGGCTCCCACAGAACGCCAGGGGCCAATGCTTAATTTACGACAAAACGTAATGGAGTCACTAAGGTGGCCGTCTAAGACAGGTGTTATTGCTTAGTGTGATAGGGGTTGTGTGTTAAAATATGGTGGCCGCGGCCGTGTTGGACAGGTGCCCGTTTTACACAGTTAAATTATATAGAAAAAATGCAAGGGGGAAATGGAAAGTGGCCGTTTGTACAGGTGGCCGTCTTATAGAGGCGGCCGTCAGGGCACGTTCGACTGTATATGTAAGGCAGCGTGGTGGAATCAGACTCTCGTCAAAATAATCAAAGTGAAGAAACTTGCATTTATCCGCAGGTTTGTGAATTTTTATCAAATTTTTGTTTTTTGGCTCAACACCTTTCATGCCCATTAAAGAACTCATTTCTGTGTGGATGTTTCTGAAAAACATTGATTAAATACACAAAAAAAGTAAATTTTCAGTTACCACGGACTTTTAAGCGAAGGAAATAACTAATCTTTGGTGGCCATTTTCTCTCTAATTTTACCTCTGAAAACAGGTGACCCCCACCTCCTTCATTTGCAAATATTTCGACCTCTATTCAAGATAAAGGGATATTATTTTCATCCAAATAAAGACAAGTGATCAAGCTTTAAGATGATACCAATATCTCTACATGCCCAAATATTGATGAGACCCTGATTCCACCACGCTGCCTCACATATGTTTGTCTGTGTGAAGACGTAATGGTCAGCTAGTGCTCAGAAAAAGACAAACAGACAAAGCCAGCAGTGGGAACCAACAGAAGGACCTACCAGTGGCTGCTAGTCATAGCAGGCGTGTTACAGCACTTGCAACACAATAAGGTCATGATATGAGTGCCGAAGATAAGAGGTGTTACAAGAGAGTAACAAACACAAAAAAGAAGGAGGGGAGGTAAAGACGATAGATGCTTGATGGGAAAGAAGGAGCAAACCACACCAGAGCACCTGCCAACCAGTGTCTGTGGCATCCCTCCAACCACCCACTATACAAAGACCAACTCAGTTACCTGTGGGTCCAGAGCCTGGAGATTTGGGACAAGTTTCTCATCAGACCTGGAGAAGGGAAACATGGAGGATTAGTCAGCCTGAGGTGGCCATGTGGGGTCAAGTGTCCGCTGACTGCACACATGTGTGTGTGTGTGTGGGGGGAGGGGGGGAGCAAGTTATGTCTCATTGTTATTGAGTCAGCAGTCAAAGATAAAAGTAATAATGCTACTGAGTTGTGGGAACAAGACAGACAGACAGACAGACAGACAGACAGACAGACAGACAGACAGACAGACAGATAGACAAACAGACAGACAGACAGACAGGCAAGCAAACTAACAAACAAACAGACTGAGAGACAGACACACAGACAGTCAGACAGAAAAAGATATTTGATCTAGTGACGCCCTCTAAACACCCATTAACGTTCTCTTAGAGGACAGTGAGTGAGGAAAACTGTCTCCAGAATTTAAAAAATCCTTCCTTCATTTTCAGTTGAGTAAAGAGAAGCCCATTTGATTCCCAGTGTAGTATTTTACCAAACAATTCCAGACTCAAACACCTGAGCAGAACCAGGTGCATTGAAAACTTCACATTTTTTCACAAAAAAAGCCGGGGGCACCAAACTCCGGCCTGCAAGGTCAGTCTGTCTGGGCCACTGTCCCGCCAACAAACTCCGGCCTGCAAGGTCAGTCTGTCTGGGCCACTGTCCCGCCAACAAACTCCGGCCTGCAAGGTCAGTCTGTCTGGGCCACTGTCCCGCCACCAAACTCCGGCCTGCAAGGTCAGTCTGTCTGGGCCACTGTCCCGCCAACAAACTCCGGCCTGCAAGGTCAGTCTGTCTGGGCCACTGTCCCGCCACCAAACTCCGGCCTGCAAGGTCAGTCTGTCTGGGCCACTGTCCCGCCACCAAACTCCGGCCTGCAAGGTCAGTCTGTCTGGGCCACTGTCCCGCCACCAAACTCCGGCCTGCAAGGTCAGTCTGTCTGGGCCACTATCACGCCACCAAACTCCGGCCTGCAAGGTCAGTCTGTCTGGGCCACTATCACGCCACCGGGCGGAAAAAGAACCTGACAGATAAATCTAATCTAATCATTTCTTTCAACTCTACCGTGCAAATCAATTGTGCTTTTATAGACTTTGTAACTTTTAATGTATCACTCTCTTAAACCTGCCTGTCCGGGCCAACCCAGAATGAGGAGGATACGAAATTTCAGCAGAAAGACAGAGACACTCAATAAAACTTTCTCCCAACTAGAAAATTGAACTCAGTCCTCCTGCGTGTGACATCAAAGTGCCTAAACGCTACACCACAGACACTGGTTATCACACTGGCGCGGTTCAGTGCGTCAGATCTTTAATTTCCTACAGGTGTATTGTAGTGAACACAATGGTGGCATTCTCTCAGTTCTCCGGCCCAATTTGAAAAAAGTTTGGTGATCCCTGCTAGGAAAGGAAATGAATAGCAACAAGACATAATGAGTCATGTCACAGTACGACAGTATAACGCTATAGGTACCAAATTTAAGATCTGTTCAAGCCATACACCTGAATGATCACAATATCAATCTAGCCGCTTCGATTAACCCTATTCATACGTCGTGTTTTACTGTTGTATCCATACGACGTGGGAGCTCTGTGACACCACTTTCAAAGAGGAAATTTACTCGTTAATCTGATCCGTACGCTTTGCATAGCAGTTTGTCAAAATGATTTTTTGAGACACTGAAAGTTTCAAAGAGATCTTTGTACCAGAAGTATTCTAAAATGTGAAGAATACAACCCCGGGGGTACAAAATGACCCCAGGGCGTACGGATAGGGTTAAAAAGTTACAATCACTTGAAGATGTGGAGTCAAAAGTACACAGATGTGAGAAAATCAAAGTTTTGCCAGATATCTGGAAACAGGCACGTACGACCAGCGACTCATTGTGTCAGCTTGCTGCATGACCAGCCCTCATTAGTTTAGTTTTAGTAGAGGTTTTACGGCGCTCACAACTGCATACGGTCATATGAGCGCCAAGGGGTGGATGTCAACAGAGAAGTCCTTACAGGGAATCAGGCTTACTCTGCTCACCTCTCTAGCCTCAACAACACAAAGTCTGCTTCGACTATCAAGGCTCCCCGGAAATAGTAGGTCACAAGAGAGTGACAAACATACAAAAGAAGTAGAGGAAAAAGACGATAGTAAGGATGAGGAAAGAAAAAGCAGCAGTTCCCCCTATGTTGTTCAGGCACAGTTATGAGCATGACATGATGAATCAGCCTATTTACAATTCTACTGTGCATAAGAACATGTTAATGTCCCCCCCTTTGGGAATGGCGTAAAGACACTTCAGTCAGTAGCACTGCCCCGGGGAGTATAGCCCTGATCAGTCGTTTTAGTTTTGGTAAAAGAGTTTTACGGTACTTGCAACACAATAAGGTCATATAAATGCCAAAGATTAGTGGTGTTACAAGACTGTAACAAACACATAAAAGAAGGAGGAGAGATCAGGACGATAAAAGATCAATAGGAAAGAAGGAGCAAACCACACCAGAGCACCTGCCAACCACCCGCCCTGATCAGTTGGCCACATTGGGCTCCAGACTTGCCTTCTGTCAGGACACAGTGCAAATACAGCAGCAGCTTTCATATATGGGCTGACCTTCTCGCAACATTCCGGAACATTCTCCCCTGTCACGGTCCTGAAGCAATCAAAGGGAAGTTTTAGATTTAGTTAAGAGATTTACGGCACTTGCAACACATTTAGGTCATAAAAGTACCGAAGATTAAAGACGTTTCTAGAGAGGAACAAAGAAAGAAAAGGAGGAATTTTTTTTTAAAGTTTAAGTAAGAGTTTTACAGCACATGCAACACAAGAGGTCATAAGAAAAGTCACTGCTTGCAAAAACCAAAAAAAACCTTTCAAACAACAGAATGTTACAGCCTTTGATCCTGACAGTCCATCAAAACACACAATGCCACGCACCCACCACAGCTAATACATGCAAACAATGATTCTTTTTTTTTTTTCAATTCTCTCATTGGCCTCAGCTGTCCCCCACAACACAAAGGGCAGGTATTTTCTAACACCTTGACAACCAAATGTTTACATTACTGCAGGCTTAGGCACTTCTAAAGTCTAACATTATTCTACGACAAAGTGGCCTTGAGCAACTACAAGGTCTCAAAGCAAAGAGGGTCAGACAGCTGCATGTGACCAAGTGATGTCACCGCTCAGGTCTAGTACATTTTCTCCCCTTCTACACCGTGAACGTTGGCACTGGGTTGAGGAAGCCAACATTTTTACAAATCAGAATCAGGGGAATTATGAACTAAGAACATGTTTTTGTCACACGGAATAAAGATTGTAACAATTCCGCCAAATTCATAATGACAGGCAGCCTTGTATATGGGGTGATCAGTGCTGTCTGAAAAGTCTTCTTAAATACCCCGGGTGCTGCCAAAGCTTTCCTTCGCCCACCTCTGTAAGAAACCGCCAAAGCCCATGGCAATTTATCTGCAGGTTTGTGCTGACAGTTCCTAACCCATGCAAGCATGTGGCCACACATCCCGAGCAATTTGACGGGGAAGGAAGACAAAGACAAGGGGAAGGAAGACAAAGACAAGGGGAAAGAAGGACAGGAGTAGAAGTTTAACTTGCACAAAGGTTTGATTCACTGAACAAAAGCGGCACAAAGAACAGACCCACTCTTCCACTAAGGTACAATGTCTCTGACAGAAAGATAAAGACAAGATGATCGGATTACGTTCTAGGTGCAGGAGGATGTGAGATTGCCATCCATGTAGAGATGCGCATAGGGACTTAGGAATCAAACTCCTGTTTTCTGTGTGCGACGGCTGAAAGCCTAGGGTCATTGCTACACCAGAGATGGGCGTAGGTCAAGAGAAGGTCAAAGAACAGACGTGTGGAAATGTACAGCCGGGAGATCCCGTAGGAGCCTACCTCTGTGCCCAGACGAAGGCCTGTAGACATTGGTCCATCCAGTCCATCGGGAGATTTCTCAACAGATTGACAGACTCCAGTGTGGCCTTGTGAACCTGAGAGACAACTTGTTCAGTATCATGTTTGTTCAAGTAAGCATTTTACAGCACTTACAACACAGTTAGGTCATATAATAGAAGTGCCGAGGATTAGAGGTGATACAAGGGAGTAACACACACTAAAAAAGAAGGAGAGATAAGGACAATAGATGTTTGATAGGAAAGAAGGAGCTAAAAAACTAGAGCACCCGCCAACCATCCACCCTGACAAACACACACAGGAGAACAGTGGAGGAAAGATTTTCTGCCAGCCCATCCCCCCCCCCCCCCCCCCCCCCCGACCAATGACTTTCTTCTGATTTGATTCAGTTTTAGCTGAGTCAGCTATCATGAAACACAGTCACATGATCAAATTGTTCTACTTCATTCACCTTTTGGAGACAAGACGTCACGTGACCCAGCTCTTTGTGTGGGTGGTGTCAGGCACAGATGGGTCATCTCCTAGCTAGCCTGTTTCTTCTTCTTCTTCTTCTTCTTCTTCTTCCTTCTTCCTTCTTCCTTCTTCTTCTTCTTCTTCTTCTTCTTCTTCTTCTTCTTCTTCTTCTTCTTCTTTGTGCTCCCCTACTAGAACTAGATCTCAGGGGTAACCGACTGCTGGTTCTTCAACCTGCAGTGCAACTGGTTTTTGTGAATGTGACTGTTTTTCCAACATAGTACGACCCCGTGCATTCAAACAAGCACATTCTCAGTTCAAAGGTACTCCGGATGTTTTTTTAACTGACTGAAGTATTTTCAGTTTTGGCTGGAACTAATTTTGAATTTTTCCCAGGTGGCGGCTAAAGCCTACTCTTATAAATTTTAGGACCACAAAGGGATCTTTAACGAGCACAACTTGCACAAAGGACCTCTGAAATTTGTTGCCCTTATCTAACAAGGCTAGGTATTCGATCTTACCAACCCTTAGAACAGGGGTGTAGCTGAAAGACCACAGTAGCGGCTAAATACATTTGATCCAGCTTTAAAAGATGGGGGGACAGTAGCTCAACAGGTGTGGAGTTTGCCTGTCCACCCAGAGGTCCAGAGTTCGATCGCTGTGAGTGTTGAGTCTTCTCCCTCCTGTTTTCTACACCCCTGAACCTAATGTAGGCAGGGGCAAGCCCAGACAAGGATGAACAATTCCGGAGATCCCATGTGGGCCTTTCGCCCGATAAAGACCTCCTTGATAGTTCTACAGATGGAAAAAGTAGGTCAGTAGAAACATTACGATCACCATTGAATGATTCTACACTCTATGTAGATAAAACGGCCATGTACGTTAAAATCAACTGCACCGTAAAGTGAAGACCTCACAGTAAGTTACCCCATAAGTTTTAGCAGGGGCACGAGGAGAAGAAGACCTTGCTTTACATCAGAGTCAAAAAGCTGGGTTCAGAAAATGTGGGAGTTGACCCACTTGTGCAGGTCCACATGAGCCACTGGCAGACATTTGTTGTTACGCCTTCTCCATTAAACTTCAAGTTGTTCCTTCTCCACAGATGCTTATCCTCTACAAAACCTCAGATTCTTATCCTCTACAAAACCTCAAGTTCTCCTCTACAAAACCTCAGATTCTTATCCTCTACAAAACCTCAAGTTCTCCTCTACAAAACCTCAGATGCTTATCCTCTACAAAACCTCAAGTTCTCCTCTACAAAACCTCAGATTCTTATCCTCTACAAAACCTCAAGTTTTACTCTACAAAACCTCAGATTCTTATCCTCTACAAAACCTCAAGTTCTCCTCTACAAAACCTCAGATGCTTATCCTCTACAAAACCTCAAGTTCTCCTCTACAAAACCTCAGATTCTTATCCTCTACAAAACCTCAAGTTCTCCTCTACAAAACCTCAGATTCTTATCCTCTACAAAACCTCAAGTTCTCCTCTACAAAACCTCAGATTCTTATCCTCTACAAAACCTCAAGTTCTCCTCTACAAAACCTCAGATTCTTATCCTCTACAAAACCTCAAGTTCTCCTCTACAAAACCTCAGATTCTTATCCTCTACAAAACCTCAAGTTCTCCTCTACAAAACCTCTAGTTCTCTACAAAACCTCAAGTTCTCTCTCCTCTACAAAACCTCAAGTTCTCTCTCCTCTACAAAACCTCAAGTTCTCTCTCCTCTACAAAACCTCAAGTTCTCTCTCCTCTACAAAACCTCTAGTTCTCCTCCACAGACTCACCAGCACAGATGTCGTAACCATGGGATCAGACAACAACATTTCACATAGTTCAGGTTCAAATCTTTCTGTCATACAGGAAAAACCCTGAAACAAAGAAGGAAAAAGATCATATGTAATTATTGTAATTGTGACGTGGGCCAGTTTCTTGTTTGTTGGAGGAAGGAGGTCGACATCAACAGGCTAACCAGCAAGTAGTGGGAAAAAAAGAAAGTAAAACAGATAGACAGAAACAACAGAGGGAAAGAAAGGAAGACCAAGGAGGGGCACCCTCCAACCACTTGAGCATGGGGCTGTTTGTTTGTTTTAGTAGAGGGTTTTACAGCGCTCGCAACTGCATAAGGTCATATGAGCGCCAAGGGGTGGATGTCAACAGAGAAGTCCTTACAGGGAATCTGACTTACTCTGCTCACCTCTCCAGCTTCAACAGCACAAAGTCTGCTTCGACTATCAAGGCACCCCGGAAATAGCGGGTCACAAGAGTGTGACAAACATACAAAAGAAGTAGAGGAAAATGACGACAGTAAGGATTGGGAAAGAAAAAGCAGCAGTTCCCTGTTGTAATTCAGGCACAGTTATGAGCATGACATGAATCAGCCCATTTACAATTCTACTGTGCATAAGAACGAGAAATGTCCCCCCTTTGGGAATGGCCTAAAGACACTTCAGTAAGTGACACCGCCCCAGGGGGTGCATGGGGCTGTGGCAAAGAGCTTTGCTTCTTTATCTGACACCGATAAAGACAATCAGGAAGAGACAAATGCAGTTTGTGGAACACTTGAACAGACATATTGTTGTTGTTGTCTTCAAATCCCTTTAGCTGCAAGCATTTCGCTCTTGGCAGCGCAATGCCCCCCCTCAAGTAACCACATGTCCTTGTCATCTGGTCAACGCCAGAGTAAAGCAGGCTTTGTAAGTCTGTAGGTGTGTGTAGGAGCCTGCGTCGAAGAACTGTCAGGTTTGGACAGATAAAGAGAAGATGTTCAACGGTCTCCTCATGGTAGTCACAGTGTCTGCAATGGGGTTCCCACATGGGGTTAATTCTGTTTATGTGCTTGTTGGTGTGTAAGTGTCCTGTGCGGGCTCTGAAGATCAAAGTCTGATCGGCTCTACATAAAAGATTTGAAGGGTCTTTGGGGTTGGGTTTGTTCATGTACCCAAAGAGAGATCTTCCTGTTTCTGCGTTGGCCCATCTGTTTAGCCACTCGTCTCTGCTTTTGGCTTGGATGATCCCTCTGCAGGTCTGTAAAGAGGCAGCTGTGTCTGTCTGTGGCAGTATGCTCCAGTCTTCGATAGATGGTCTGCAGTCTCATTCCCTGGTACTCCAGAATGGCCAGGCACCCACAGCAGTGTGGCCCGGACGCCATAGGAAGTGCCCATCTGTTTTACAAGGCTGAGGATGTTCCCGTCCCCTCTGTAGTCTCCTCCTCCCTCGATGGCATGTTCCTGTCACCTCTATAGTCTCCTCCTCCCTCGACGGCTTGTTCCTGTCACCTCTGTAGTCTCCTCCTCCCTCGATGGCATGTTCCTGTTACCTCTGTAGTCTCCTCCTCCCTCGATGGCATGTTCCTGTCACCTCTGTAGTCTCCTCCTCCCTCGACGGCATGTTCCAGTCACCTCTGTAGTCTCCTCCTCCCTCGACGGCATGTTCCTGTCACCTCTGTAGTCTCCTCCTCCCTCGACGGCTTGGAGTACAGACATTGAGTCAGAGAAGACAACAACATCCCCTGGTGTTACTGCGCCTTCAAGAAAGTCCTGGGTGATCTGCTCCAAGGTCTTTACTATGGCAACTCTCTCTGCGTCATAGATAGAGCTGTATGTTCCACATGGGCCAGATTGTTGGGTCTGCTTCTTCTCTCCAAGGTTGTTTCGATATTCAATGGTAGATCCGTATCCAGCATTCCGTGTAGCATTTGTTGCCGACCCATCTGTGTATGCATGAATTGGAGTTTCAGTATACGAGTCCACTGTCTCCAGGGCACTAGTTGAACAGACATAATAACACCTAGTTGACCTAGCTCTCACTGGCAAAACTGAAGGCCAATGAGCCAGAGGTGAAGCAGAGCAACCTACTAGGAGAGTCTAAACAGACGGGTAATGGGGAGAGATCAGGCTAGTCTATAGTGTAGCTTATTCTAGAGCATCCAAGCAAAGGAATGTATGGAGAACCATGATCACTGATGTCCGTCGCAGATCTGGCTCTTGATGATGATGATGATGATGATGATGATGATGATGATGATGATGATGATGACAGCGGTATAAATATCTGTTACTTGTTTTGAACTCTCAGTACCGCATGGTCTTTTTGTAGGTATGGTAAAAATGTGTTACTTGTTTTCAATTATTCTCAATGTAGCAAAGTTTTGTATTTTGTGTACTAAAATCCAATTATTGAAACATATTCACATTTGCTGATGTCATTGGGTCAACTTATGGAAGCACTGTTTTTATAAGTTTTCTATAAAGAACAAAAACAGAGTTAGGCATTCGTGTTATGACTGTGACACCATACCTATTGAGTTTTTTTCAGCAGAAGGTAATTATTTGCTAGAGCCGTTTTCAGTATCCTCCCTTGAACTAGCCAAGGAGCAGTTATGGAGGACGGGAAATCATTTGCTAAAATCTCTTCTGTCTTAAGATTGGAAACAAGCACAGGAGTTTTGTTAGCTAATTTGGACCTTCCATAACAGGAATCTTGTAGCTAATTTGGACCTTCCATAACGGGAATCTTGTAGCTAATTTGGACCTTCCATAACAGGAATCTTGAGGCTAATTTGGACCTTCCATAATAGGAATCTTGTAGCTAATTTGGACCTTCCATAACAGGAATCTTGTAGCTAATTTGGACCTTCCAGTAACAGGTGTCATGTTAGCTAATTTGGACCTTCCAGTAACAGGTGTCATGTTAGCTAATTTGGACCGTCCAGTTACAGGTGTCATGTTAGCTAATTTGGACCGTCCAGTTACAGGTGTCATGTTAGCTAATTTGGACCGTCCAGTTACAGGTGTCATGTTAGCTAATTTGGACCGTCCAGTTACAGGTGTCATGTTAGCTAATTTGGACCGTCCAGTTACAGGTGTCATGTTAGCTAATTTGGACCGTCCAGTTACAGGTGTCATGTTAGCTAATTTGGACCGTCCAGTTACAGGTGTCATGTTAGCTAATTTTGCCCTCACTGCATCCAGGTGTCATGTTAGCTAATTTTGCCCTCACTGCCTCTATGTGTCCAAGCAGAAAAATGAGCAGCGAACCATGATTGCCTATGTCCATTTCAGATCTGGCACTCCAAGAAAAAGAAGAAAAAGAAAAAGAAGGAGGAGAAGGATCTGGCACTTGAGAAAAAGAAGCAGAAAAAAAGGAGGAGGAGGAGGAGGGGGATAGGGAGGGGGAGGGGAGGAGGAGGAGGAGGGGGAAGAGGAGGGGGGAGGAGGAGGAGGGGGAGGAGGAGGAGGAGGAGGGGAAGAGGAGGGGAAGAGGAAGAGAGGGAACAAGAAAAAGAAAAAAACAAGAAGAAAGTAGAAAAGCAAAAAAGGCACAGTCCGACATTCCCATGTGTACCAACAATCTTCAGCCTTGAGCTTTCTCTACACTAGGACAAAGTAGAACTCACTTGAAGAACAAATACTGTCGCATCAAGAGACAGGCATCCTCCAGTATTCAGGTTGGATTTCTGAAGCATAAAAAAGTACAGAAATGCAGACGATAACGCAAGTTATCAAACAAATGAATGACAAACTGTAATGTTTTAAGCCCCCCTCAATACAATTTAGATCATCTACGATGCAGGCTGCTTCCCCGCGGTCTGGCAGGGCCAACCCAGACTGAGTGGACACAATATCCAGCAGAAAAACAGAAACACTCAATACAATAACTTCTCCATGTCAAAATTGGTCGCTTTTAAGGACAAGCCGGCGAACCCAGACTTCGGGGGATTCCAGAAATCTTGATCAACACCAAAAGAGGACATTGCCCTACCTGCTGGAGAAGTTTGGTTTCATTGGTGTGTATATTTGTCTGGTTATAGAGAAAACTCTCCTTGTCTTTTAAAGTTTGGTTTCATTGGTGTGTATATTTGTTTGGTTATAGAGAAAACTCTCCTTGTCTTAAAAAAAAACTGAACAAGGGGCAAAAACTTTTCCCTAGATTTTCTCAAAACAGCATTTTTCGAGATAGCCCCCCTTGTGCTTAAAAGTGACCAATTGAACTCACCCCTATTGCAGGAAACTGTGAATACCCTTTCCATTACATCACAGATGCCGGTCTTACATGATGAAGGCTCATGATGATGATGATGATGATGATGATGATGATGATGATGATGATGATGATGATAAGATAAGATAAGATAAGATACATCTTTATTGTCCAGATCCTGGCACATTGGTTTGGTGTTCCACCACGAGTACACACACACACACACACGCACACACACACACACACACGCACACATACAACATACAACACACAACAAACACACACACACACACACACGTACACACGTGCACGCACATGCACACACAAGTAGGCTTACAATCACATACATAATATAAATGAGCAGCAATATAAACAATAATAATCGTAAGCTAGATACACACTCAATGTTATTTTGATGCATGCTCTAAGGTCGTAGGTACACCAAACAAGATAGATGGTCAAGATGGAAGCATTTTGATAGATGATGGTAAAAATGACCTTCTGTATCTTTCTTTGTTACAGATCAGAAGCATGGGTCTTTTACTTCTGACTGATGTGTTTATTTGAGGGAACAAGGGATGTTTGTTGACTAAAAAGATGGAATTAATTTTATTAGTGCAAGCTGTTATGTACAATTCATCCAAGTAGGGGAATGAAGATGTTGAAATTTTACATGCTTTCCATATTAGTCGATTTAATTTTTCTTTATCTTGTTGTCTTGTGTCCCCGGCCCATGCTGTTATACAAAAATTGATCATACTTTCTATGGTGATGATGATGATGATGATGATGATGATGATGATGATGATGATGATGATGATG